TATTCGCTTAATCAAATAGCAGCTTGTATTGAATTTGTGCATGATAGATGCTGGTATAAAGAATTGAAATTCCTGAGTTTTAGACAGCTCTTCAAAAAAGAATGACTGAATGCCTGAGGCGTAGTTGTTACCAGGGGAGATCAGTGTCTGGGCAATACTCCTTATTTGGAACAGAGTTTTTTATTGACAGAATCTGCTGCTTCTCAGAAAGCTGGTTAAAGGCTAATTTATCTGCTGCAGAAAATACAATCATATCATTTGATCCAGACAGGTTAATTTGTAATAGGTTGAAGAATGTAACATTGACTTTTCTGAGTGACCAGGGGGTTCTCATGCCCTCCTACCAAGCAGTCATCAGTAACTGTTGACATTTGGGAGAACAAATCCAATGCTCTTAAAGCAGTAGAATTTGTTCCATTCTCTGGGGTGGTTGTATAAAAGCACATCATGTTGTAAACATGTGTATGCACATCAGGTTGTAAAACAAAATGTGTGATTAATGTTTTATCTTGGTTTTAATCACTATTAGGTAAATCTGTTTTCATCATTCATGGACACAGGTTTACCAGCAAACTGTCAGCTGACTTCCACTAATCTCTCCTGTAATCATATTTTAGCTTTCATAAGCTAAATAATGATGTTCCTGGTCAGGAAATGACAGAACTATGATGGCATTTGAGCTTGCAAAATGCTGTTTTCACACCTTTTCATGGAAAAGATGAATATTATCATAGATTAGACATGAAGAGATAGAAATCCAAATGTGAGTAAATGGTGAGTGTTCAAAAAGATATGTTAAATATGGTTCATTAGAACAGGGAGACAATGTAGTTTAATAAAATAACAATGTGGAAAATGGTCAAAATAAGGAGGTGCTAAGTTTATTTAGGACAGCTACAGCCAGAGGAGATTGAGGAATTTCAGAGGGTAGCACAGCAGCAGAAGATTAGGAATGAAACAAGAAGTGTGCAAAGCAATATAGACAGCATGTCACTACATAAATGATTATGATTTTATCTGGAACTGTATTTTTCATGCTAGGTCAGGACTTACATGAAAGTAAAGAGTTTGTTAAATTCATAATCAAATAACTGTCTGTTGGGGTTTGGAAGAACCTTTTCAGAAGGATATATGTTCATGTTCCCTGAACTTTCCTTTTTGGAATTTTGATGTTAGTGACTTTTGGCTGATTCAGAAATATCTTGAGAGAAGCATGGCAAAAATCCATATTTAAAATATGCTCATTCTGTTAAAAATGTATTCCACAGCATAAATAAACATAATTCAACAAGACATACCACCATAATTTTACATAACTCAGTAAAACTAGCTGAAATAATTTGTTTTAAGGTCCATACCACCTCGTGGATGTTCGCTGGACAATGAAGATTTTCCAGGAGGTAGTAGAAGGAGTTTGCTATATCCACAGCATGGGAGTGATGCATCGAGACATTAAAGTAAGTTCATCAAATTATTACTTGAGGTTGAAGAAAACAAAGACAATTTACATTATGGGAGAATGAAAGCCACTTCATACTTGCATTAGAGATGACCTGGGCTCTTAAGAATTTAGTTGTTACATATGAGAAAATACATAATCTCCTCTATAGCAGTGCCATACTTTCTTTACTATCAGCATAGTAAATAGCATCCACTGACTTACAAGTGGATTTTCAGCTCTGGAGGTGTTTTCTCCTTTGAAGCCATTTTCCTGTCAGAAACAGGCATGGTCAGATTGCTTTTCTTTTGTCTGTCTTTAACCAGGGTAGGGACTTAATTACAAAAAAAAATTATTTTAGGTAATTATGAAAATAGGCAAAGCCCCTTGACTACATCTCCCTTTGCTAACTGCATACAGTTAGCTGTTGAAAATATGTTCCAGTTGTTTGCTTACTGATAGACCTGAAAAGCAAGGAAGTGAATGTGTGTTTTCCTACTTTGCTTCCTACTCAGGTTTTCTGCATCTGATACAGCAGCTGTAGGAAGAAATCATGATTATTAAAACTTCACATATGGAAGCTTGGAACTACTTGAAATCACTCAGTCTTCACTCTGGATTAATTTTCATTTTTCTGTCAACTGTTCCAGGATGAACAGTTTTTCATTTTGCCTACCCATTTAGCATCATCATGACCTTATTGTCCAGAGTCTGGTAGTTATATAAAGAATTCCACAGTTCCTTACAGTTACTGCAGACCTGGTTTTGAGCCAGTTCTCACGGGTTTCCCCATATAGTGTTCTAATGGTGATTTTACAGATACCTAGCAGAGACTGTAATTTCTGAGATAATATTCTGAGAAAGTCTTTCAGTGTGTAAATTTCTGAGAACAGAAGTCCAGTGGGTGGGTGTCCTAGATATGTTTTTACTTCAGTGGATATGAGAAGCCTGCATCTTTTAAGTTAGATCTGCACTGGATAAAGGAAAAGAATGGAGATTGCCCATCTCTTGTTAAAATATTCACATCTCCTTTATACACTAATAAAAGACCAACTATTTCTCTTGTGCCCCCTGAGCAAGTTGGGGGATTTTTCTAGGTACATAATGCTTGCATTTCTCCTCCTTAGTGGTCCTAAAACCAAAATATATGGATGAAAACTGTTTCAGTTTTCTGAGTCAGAGCTCTCAAGTCTGTCATCATTTGGCTTTTTTCTCATAGCAGCTTCCCATAACCAAGTAACATATTGCAGCTGCTTATCATACAGAAAAGTGTTTTGGTTTGTATTATGTCTAGCCCAATGATATTTAGTCATCCTTCCTGCTACAGCAGTTGGTCAAATTTACTGTCCACTCTTGCCTGTTCCTGCTTATGTTCTGCAAATTTCCCAGTTTCTGTTGGGGAAAAAAAAGTACTTAATGTTTTCACTAAATCTTGGGTTTTTTCTGTTTTGCTTTTCTTCCTTTTTTTCTAGATCCTTGTTCTAGGTGTGCAGTCTTTTGGCCCAAATGGTGTTGCTAACACGATTTGGTATCAGCAATGACTATTTTTTCTCTCCCCCTACTAAAAAATGTTGAATAATCATACCTGTGAAACACTGGATTTTACAGACTTTGAAACCACTGAAATGCTGTAATTCTTTATATAGACATATTTCTAAATTGTGTTCTGTCTTCATTTACAGCCTAGAAATATCTTCCTACATGGATCAGATCATCAGGTAAAAATAGGTGACTTTGGATTAGCCTGCAAAGACCTTCTTTGGGATGATGCAGATCAGTGGTTTCAGACAGAACGGATAAATGGTAAGAGAAGTGTAATGGCTTTCAGTGTTTAAGTTTCTATGGTATTAAAATCATTAAACTGTTACTTGCAAGGGTAACAACACTTGCTAAATCTCCTTTGCCTTTCAAAGGACTGACACATACTTCAGGAGTGGGAACCTGCCTCTATGCCTCACCAGAACAACTGCAGGGATCTCACTATGATTTCAAGGTAGAGAACTCTGGTTTGTTTCTTCTTTTCTCTATTAACATGCTAGATAATAGAAATAAGTTAAGCCTTTCAATTGGCAAATACATAAACAATCCTACTGTCACTCCTGGTGTTTTTGTTGAAACATGGATTTCAACTTTGCCTTCTCATTTGCTGTTAAAGCAAAACTTTTTTTAATATCTTGAAAATGTATATCGATTTGATATACATTTTTTGTATATCAAATTTGTGTTTAGTAGTGTCATGATGCTCTTCAAATCATCGTGACACTTCACTGTTGTGAAACTTTTTCATATAATGATTTTATAAGAAAAAGAAGCCCACTAAGTTAAAACAGTAGTTATCCCAGAACTTTCTCTTCACCCCATTAACAGTCAGACATGTACAGCATGGGTGTTATCCTGCTAGAACTCTTCCAACCATTTGGAACAGAAATGGAGAGAACAGAAGTTCTTACACATTTAAGGACTGGCCAAATTCCTCACACTTTCTACAAGAAATGGCCTATTCAGGCCAAGTATGTGAAACTCCTCACCAGTCCCAGAGCTCCGGAACGCCCAACAGCGGCTCAGCTGCGGGACAGTGAACTCTTCCACACCACAGACCAGGTAACTTGTGCCAGCAACCCCAACCCTTACAGCCTAAAGAAACACAAAAACAAAATGCCCTTTGTATCCCTGCCTGCATTACATGTGTTTGGCTTTGAACTTAATCACACGTTCCTCTTTAAACTCTTTTTCTGGTTACAGTGTTTAGGCCACTGTATTATTTCTGGTGTCTTTGCAATGAGATAGCTGGTCATTAACTTTAGGCAATTTTCTGATGACTGTACAGTTGAGAGGCATTTTTATAGGTCAGAAAAGCTTTCAAAGCTTTTCATCACATCTGCAGATTCTTCTAATAATTTTTCCTTTCCATGCTCCACTGCTGTGTGGATTTAAGTTATAGTAACAAGAATGTAGAGTAGCTGAGTGCTGCTGCACTGTGGCTGTAGTGGATTGCAAACACAATTCAAGTGGGTCAATAAGGCTTTTATCCTTGCTTAGCTGTAAATGAAGTAAACCGACTCTCATTTTCAGGTTATCTCTAACCTCCAACAGAAGGTGAGACAGCAAGAAGAAGAAATACAGAAACTGAGGGAGACAATAAGACAGCTTTCTGAAGAGCAAGATGAACAAACAAGACAAGGCTCTCCTGTTTAAGTGCAGGAAGAACTATGCTTGACTGTGTGTTAAGTTATATAAAATGTTTCTTTTTTTATATAAAATACTTCAATGCATTTTCATTTGGCTGTCTGTTCTTAAAAGGTATCGCTTGATTGTGTGTTAAGTTATAAAAAATGTTTCTTTTTTTTTTTTACATAAAATACTTCAATGCATTTTCATTTGGCTGTCTGTTCTTAAAAGGTATTTATCCTTTTGCCTTGACCAAAGGCTCCTGAGAAAAAAAATCATGTTGCAGTGGAAAAACTAAGAGCACAGCTCGTATTTGCATAGGATTAATTTACGGACTGTAGTTTGTTCATACATGTTACGCAAGAGTTACAAAAAAGGAAGGTCACACCCAAAAGGCAGCTGTAATGCTTTTATTATTTTAGGATTCTGTCCAACTGTAATACCTAAAATACATCTCAGAAAGGACTCAAACATTACAGCAGGCATGAGGTGGAGTAAGATTAAAACAACATCACTGTGAAGGGTACAGGCTCACTTGAGCAGCTTCATCACAGAGCTGAAAGGGGCCAGGTTCTCACAGGACTTGATCCACTTCTGCACGTTGGCCGGGGCGCTGTTGGCAGAGCCCGTCTGCTGCAGCGCGCTCCACGCCACCACGTCGGCCAGCGTCAGTTCACTGCCCACCAGCCACGAGCTCTTGCCCAGGGCAGCGTTCATGGAGCGCAGCACTGCTCCTCTCTCCTTGCTGCTGCCCTCCTTCAGCTGGAAGATGGCTGTGTCCACCCAGCTGTCGATCAGAGTTGAGGTAACTGCATTGTACTTCTGCCCAAACAGGGAAAAGAGAAAGCGAGCGATGTTCCCCTCTCCTTCTATGGGGCACATGGTTTGAATGCTGAACTTCATCTGGGGTTTGGGAACTGAAATTAACAGAAGAAAAAAAAAGTGAATCCAACATAGTAAAGAAATTAACTGGAATGGTAATTCCATGATGAACATTTGTGATGCCAGCACCACTGTTAATATCATTAACCTGATGAACAGTTTTCAGTCTTGTGGGATAAAGAGATCACTTTTTGAAAAATTCAGCCAAATCTACCCCATAATTTCTCTTCTAGTTATCTTGTTTGTAGAAACTAAAAAGCATTTTAAAAAGCCCCCAAAACCTGAGGGTACAAACAACCCTGTCAATGCCACATGTATTTTAACAGCAGTAAATATGAACAAGAATCTCCTTCTTCTGGCCCAGCATGGTTCACAGCTATGAAAAGAGAACAAAAATGTTTCCTGCTTCTTCATATCCACCACATGTCAGCACAGGGACACCCAAGCATCTGTGTGCAAGGGTTTATAGCACAAGTTTCATTTTCTCATCTATTGTAAAATATTGCTCTACAAATTTCCTTCTTACCATCTTTCCAAATCAGAGTAAAGCCCAACTGATACTCATGACGTGCCTGCTTCTTAGTGTGCTCTCCAAAGCACTTCAAGAGGTTTTCTGGCACACTTTTCACTGATGAATGTGTGTGAACAGCTGATAATATTTTGTACCGTTCACACAGCAGACTGTGTATCACTAACAGTGACAGTGGAGGTAGAGAAGGATTTGCATTGATGACAACATCTTTCAGGGCTCCGTAATCCTGAATGGAAAGTAAAACATTCAGCAGGTAAGACACATTCCAGATCATACTCACAACCATTGCTTTCATTTGACACCAAAATGTACATAGTCATGCATGTGTATGCATGTGTGTATCTGAAATTCTAATGATAGTCAAGTAAATAAATTCAAGCTTGGACATTTAAAACTTGTGTAAACATCTTCCTTCCTTGACATGTAATTCAAGGATATGACAGGTAAAGCCTACTCCAAGATGAAGCCAATATTAAGAGTTTCCAGTTTAGTAACAAACAAAAAAACAACTGTTGAAATTTCAAAATTAACTATTCTCGCTTGAAATTATATCCAAATGAGCACATATAGAACTAGTATTTATAAGTGTTTGTATCTATAATCTGGATGGCCAAAATTAAATTTGTAGGTAATTGTAGGTTGTATATTGAGTTCTGAGTGTCCCAGGTTTTAATGCCCCCCTTCCAGCCCTGTAAATGGAATGTTGAGAAAGTACCTACCAATATCACTGCTCAACTAAACTCACCTTTCCAAGCATCAGATCTAAATCTGCTCCATTTGTTGTCAAAGGAGAAAATTCATCAGTTTGAATGACATTTGTTACATCAAAGTCAGCATCTGGGGTGTGTATCATCTTGGAGAGCCCATCCACAGCACTCTTCAGTTCATACAAGCGCTTCAGGATCTCCTCCTGGCGGGATTCAAGTGCCTGAAGTGATGGGTCAACCTCTTCCTGCAGAAGAGGAACAAACAAGGCCACGTAAACATTCACTCTGCTCAGTGTCCAAATGGTGCACAGCTCACTTAAGGTTAAGTTTTGAAAGACTAAACACCTTCAAATAGCCAGACCATTGTGAATATCATGGGCTTATGTCTATCAGTAGTCTTTTGTCTGTATAAGTGTGGTGAGATGGTATATTTAATAATTTCCTGAAATTTTCCTGCTTAATAGAGTCTTCTAAGCCATTAGTTACAGCAAACTCTGTAATGCAGTCAAAATCAGACAAAGAGCTGGCAGTGAAGTGCTGAACGATGACTGAAAAATCAAAGGCAGCTTGTCAGGTTCTTTTCAGCCCAGAAGAGCAAAGTTAGTAAGTCTGTGGTACAGCAGCCAAACAGGGAAACTTTTTGACAAGTCAGGTAGTTCATAAAAGTAAAAAGCCTTGCAGCTTTAGATGGATGGTATATTGTGTGGATTCAGGCTTTGTTTCAAAGAATATAAATTATAGTGGGAAAAAAAAGACCATGGGCTTCATTACATGTTAACACCAATACAGTTTTTTATCTGTATTACCTCACAAGCATCTCATCTTACAATCTCTTTTAAAATAAGAAGAAAAATATATTCCTGTGGCAGGTTTTAAGTCTACAAGCTTAAAATAACGTTAAAGAAAAATTTTCAAATAGCCTATTTCTAAGCATCCTGAATAAGGATTAAACAAACCCAAACTATCATGGATGAAGAGATAAACAAGGTACCCAAGTAAAATCTTTATATCCACTTAATTTAGTCAAAGACAAGACAAGGGAAGACCTCTTAAGTGACTATTAATTCGCTAGTACACAATTCCATACTGTGCAATGGGAAGGCATTTCGTTAGCATTCCTGTTAAGTTCTGCCCCAAAGTTACTCCTCCTCAGTGTCTGCTCACCAAGCTGGGTGAGGGCACAGCAAACATCGAGCTAAAACCGGCCACGAGCGGCCTGCGAGAATTCCGTGCACTCCTGGCACTGCAGAGAGGCTGCTCAACTAGCCCCATGTAACACGGCATTTGGCATTTTTGTCTTATTTGAGGCAAAAGAAAGCGAGCCGGGCAAGGAGGGAGTGTACGTGGCTGGAACCCGAGCGGAGCCGGCGGAGCGGTGATGCAGCAGGACGGGACGCGGCCTGCTGGGCACTCCGGGCTGGCCGGGAGCAGCACGGCCACTCGGACACAAACACCGCCACAGGGACACACGCCAGAGCCCGGAAAGTTAAACTGAGAACTACTGAAGGTTTTAAAAACATTACAGAGAAATTCCTGAGATTCTTGATTTTATTTAACCCTCGGACGCGCGGCTTAAGGCGAGGCGGAGCCGGGGCCCCTCCTGCGGGCTGAGGCGGTGACTCGGCCCCGTGAGCTCTCCGGCAGCGGAGGCTGCTCCCGGTCCCTGACAGGGGCTGGGGCTCTCACCGGAGGGAACACCGGCCCCGCGGCCGCATGCCCGACCGCGCCAGGGCGAGCACCACGGGCCGCAGCCCAAGCAGGTCGTTCCGCCCACCCCTCGCTCCTACCTGCGGCGGCGCGGCGGTGCCGGGGGCGCGGTGCAGGTTGGGCAGGGGGTACATGCAGCTGGGCAGGTGCTCCGCCAGCACCCCGGCGCTGTGCAGCGGCCGCACCTTGTACATCGCGGGCATGGCGGCTCCCGCTCCGCCGCCGCCGGCCCGCCCACCCCTCCGCGCCCATTGGCGGAGCGCAGCGTGATTGACACGCGTGGCACCCAATGGGCTACGGGTTCTCCCGCCCGCCCTCCTGCCATTGGCCGGCGTTGAGTCGCAGAGCGCGTCCCCACAGGGCGGTGGGCGGGGTTGCGCCGCGGGCCGGGAGCGCGGTCCGTGCGGGGCGGGCGCGCTCCGGCCGCTCCCGGCGCTGAGCGGGGCGGGAGCGTGAGGAGAGCGCGGCCCGCTCCGCCCCGCCGGGGCCCCGATGGAGGCGGCTGCGCCCTGGTGAGTGTGTGCACCGCCCCGGGCCCCCGCCTTCGCACCCCCTGCCCAGGCCGCTTTGCTCCCCTCACGGGAACCGCGCTCCTCGCACGGGCCGTGCCCCCGCTGCCGGCGCGGTTCCGGCCTCCCCTGGTTCTCTGGTTCCCCTGGTTCCTCTGGTTCCCCTGGTTCTCTGGTTCCTGCCTCCCGTCCCGGCTGGCCTGGGGAGGCCTGAGCGGGGTTTGCTGCCCGCTCTCACCGCCGGGCTTTGCTGTCCCTCTGTCCGCAGCCCGCAGCCCGCCGGGGCCATCCGGCCCATCGAGCGCCGCTCTGTCCATCGCATCTGCTCGGGGCAGGTCGTGCTGAGCCTCGGCACTGCCGTCAAAGAGCTGGTGGAGAACAGCCTGGACGCCGGAGCTACCAACATCGGTAACTCTTCCTCGGATTTAGTAACTTTCCATAGGCTTCTAAAGCACGTCTTTTTCCTCAAAACCAAGCGCATGTTAAAAAATACGGGCAAATACTTTCTGTTGGGTCCCAGCATCTTTGCAGTGATTTTACACCTCAGGTTACTAAAACATTCCCAGACTCCAGCTGCATTCCTAGCAGCATGTGAGATTGTGTTATTTGATTTCTAATGGCCCTTTTGGCCACTAAAACAGTGTGTGGTCTGTGCAGCAGCGGTGATCAGGCTGTGCCAGCCGGTGGCCTTGGGCTAGCACAGGGTAAGGGCAGGGGGCTTCCAGGATGGTGCCTGGGGTAATTGGGAAAACTTCTGTTCAGACACAAGTTCAGTGAAGTTGAATTACTTGGAACTACAGACTGGTTTGCATTAGATTGATCTAACTTTTGACAGCTGTCAAGGGTTAGGGGTTTGGGTTTTTTTTTCCTGTTATTATTCAATTTTGACATGGAAAGATGTTATCTGAAAAATTGACTTCAAGTGCAAGATTGATACCAAACACCGTGTATGAACATAAAGAATTAAAATACTTTATGACTCAATTTTGTAGATATAAAACTTAAAGATCATGGGGCAGAACTGATAGAAGTTTCAGATAATGGAGGTGGAGTGGAAGAAGAAAACTTTGAAGGCTTGAGTAAGTTGATTTTTTTTTTGTAATTTAAATGTTGGCTTTTACATGATGTGTGTGTTACCTGCAAGCTTGAGCAACACCAGACTGATCTTCTGTAGTGCTCTTGTGGTTATAGTTCTTGTAACTCAGAAATAGTCTTTGGTTACTTTGCTTATTTAAGTGGCACAAGCAATATACATAATCACAGAGGAGAAAATGTTATAAAAGTCCATGTGGGTTAATTAATGTTTAATCATTGGTCGTTGTTGAAGGAGTTTGGCTGTGTGGAAGTGGCTGCTTTGGGAAGGTGAATTATAAACTTGAGTATTTGCTGAAGGGGAACTGACATTGCCCTGACTGTCAAACTTCCCATTTGCTAGTTTTGAATTGCACAAAATGGGAGCAGAAACAATACATTGTCTGATGAATCTAACTAGCCACTGCAGTAGAAATACTGGCATTTCTTTTTTGATAAAACAGCTAGGAATCTTTTCCCCACAGGTTATTCCTCAGTAACTTTGGTGTTCACTGTACGTTTTTGATACTCAGAAACTCAGTGTGCTGCTGTTCCAGCACAGGGAAAGCTCAGGGGTGCTGCTGCTGGGTCAGTTTGTTACCTGGTGACTGGTGCTGCACTGCTGGTGTGGGCTGAGTCCTCCTCAGCTGTTGTGCTGGCTGGGCTTGTGCTTGTCACCTGTTCCCCATGCACAGCACAGGCTGCAGCTGGGTTCTGGCAGGGCAAAATCTGGGACAGGTCCAGCAGCAGCAGAGGCTCTGCTCTGAGGCATCTTGTAGAGCTTATTCCAATAATGCTGAATAAATCTGTGATGTAAGTGTGAAATAGCAGGTGCATCTGAGGATTTTTAAAAGATCTTGTTTATAGGAGAAAGCGAAAGCAAGCAATATTTTGTCTTTAATCATTATGTAGAATACAGTGAATAATACAGAAGGTGTTTTGCTTCTTGATATGCATACAAAATCTACTTGCATAGACCAGTGTCACTTTGAAGTGAAATATATATTTGAAATAATCTTTTTCCAGCTCTGAAACATTACACATCAAAGATACAAGATTTTTCTGATCTAATACACGTTGAAACATTTGGGTTTCGAGGTGAAGCTTTGAGTTCACTCTGTGCATTAAGGTAAATAATATTATTTGTTATTAGTATATTACTAATTAGTAATATAATATACCAAGTAATATAATATAATACAATACGTAATATAAGTAATTACTAATCACTAATATAAGTATATATTTATTTATACTATTTATTAGTAGTAGGAAGTTACTATATGCACAAAAACACTACACCCCTTCAGTTTACCATTATTGACAAAGTGGGGCTTTGGAAACTTCCAGTTCCTTACTGTTAGGTCTGTTTTGAACAGTAGGTTGCATGACATCCTGAGTCGTTTCCAACCAAAATTATTCTGTGTTTCTAAGCACCTAATTGGTCATTTTATGTACAGAATTTAGTGTTACTTAAGTATGCAGATCTTTACAGGCTGGGATTGTGTATTTGCATGAGTATTGATCCTCTGATGTAAAGCACTGTAATATTTAAGTGCTGGTTGTTAGGTTGTAACTCATTAAGACTGTACTTAAATTTCTTTCAGACCAACTATACATTTTAAATCAGCCTTTGTACACAGTGGTGCTGGTATTTGTTAGAATGAGGAATGTAGTGTTCAGCAAAACTAGATTTTTACACTGAGTTTTAAAAGAGAGAGATGAAAGGGATACAAATAAGAATGTGTAGCTAGGGAAATGTTACACTACTCTAAAGAGCAGGTTCTTAGCTGTTTATGGGGAAGAGTTGTTTTATAAAATTAGTAGTATTGCTGTAGTTTCTATGCTGCTTGTCATGAGGAATAGATAATATGGTGCTCAGTGAATAATTCTGTTGCCTCTTTCCTCCCACTAGTGATGTTACCATTTTCACCTGTCATAAGTCAGCAAAGGTTGGGACTCGTTTGGTGTTTGATCACAATGGCAGAATTACTCAGAAGACTCCTTTCCCACGACAGCAGGGAACAACTGTGAGCATCCAGCAGCTGTTTTATACCTTACCAGTGCGGCATAAAGAGTTCCAAAGAAACATCAAAAAGGTAAGGTCAGAAATTCTCAATTCAAAGGACTATTGTCCCCCAGAATTGATTCACTGCTGAATGAAGCTCAGTTCTCTGTAGAATGTACTGATTACAGACTATTTCATGCCTGTCTTACATCTTAATCAAATAACAAAAGTCTTCTTGTATGCTTTTCTCTTCTACTTTGCAATATTTGGATTTAAAGGTACATTCTCAGATTTTCAGATCTTGAAAAGAATCCATATCATGATCACTTATCTGTATTTTAAAACCAGGCTGTGTTGTGGCTAAATATAAGTCTTGTAAACATCCTGTTTATTTTTAAAGTACTATTTTTCATATATGGTACTTTAAAAAATTTTACTTATCTGTATTTTAAAACCAGGGACTGCTGTGTTGTGGCTAAATATAAGTCTTGTAAACATCCTGTTTATTTTTAAAGTACTATTTTTCATATATGGTACTTTAAAAAATTTATATATATATATATATACACTTTAAAAAATATATATATATACACATTATATATATATATATACACACTATATATATATATATCTTTTAATTTAGTATATAAAGATTTTAAGGCTAAAATTTCCCCCTTTGTTACCTGCAGCTATTGAATGCTTTGTTTATACATTTGTGTTTTAAAAAGGGACATTTCATATGAATCTGAACTTCCTTTTTCCTTTAATAGGAATATGCAAAAATGGTCCAGCTGTTGCAGGCCTACTGTATTGTTTCCAAAGGGGTGAGGATTAACTGCACTAATCAAGTGGGCCAGGGGAAAAAAAGCTGTGTGATATCCACTGCTGGAAGCCCCAGTTTAAAGGAGAACATTGGAGCAGTATTTGGACAAAAACAGGTATTGCTTTTATTACTGAAAAGAGAGAGGATGTAGCTGTATAGAGGGATTTTTAATGTCTGGTAAGTGTGAGAGGTTGGAGTGTTGGTCTGCAGCACACCCTAGAGGCCGAGAGACACCGCAGCCTCCACGGACTCTGAAAATCCTGGATCTCCTCAGGGATGTTTTAGAAATGATTTAGGAGATGGGTTATGGCTTAATATCGCTCTGAAACCAGTTTTAAGAGCTGTTGTTTCAGCAAATGGACTGTGTGTCACAAGAACAAGCAATTTAAAAAAATCCTTAAAATGGTGTGACATGAAAGTTTTAACTGGAGAGCAGAAAACTGAGGTGTATCCACTTTTGCAAGCTTGTCCTATGAAACTAAGTTTTATTCTGGGTAACCTTTAAATGGGATTGCAGTCAGCCCCTGTAAAGATGTAGACTGTGATGCTTTCTAAGGAATACCTATAAAAAATAATTGTTATCCTCTAGATGAGAGCAGAGATGAAAAAAAGCTCAAAAACATCCTACCTACAGCTGTGTATTACAATCAGCAGAAGTATTGAGTGGCTGACAGCTGCTGGCTGTTGATAAACAATTTTTCTCTCCACAGTTCCCCTACAGAGATCTCAAAGCCTGTTCATGCTGTGGCTGAAAGATGAAAGATGTAACTTTGTCTTGCCATGTGGCACCAAGCATAGTTGAAAATTGAGTGTTATCTGAATAGAATGTTTAGCTTA